ACGCACGCTATTTTGCAAAAGTATCCTTAGATACATTATATAAATCGCGGTTGATCTTTCTGATGAGATTTTTACTTTTTTCGCTTATCACATTATTACAAAAATAACTCCATAGCAACGGATACGAATTCACTTTTTCAAGAGTTTTATTTCGAGAGCGTTACTATTCCCTAGCGCTGTTTGGGTGGGCTGTTCTAGGGAATAAAACTAGTAAGTCGGAGGAAATTGTCTGCGCCTACGGAATTCATCCGCACGGGCCCGTAGCGGTGGCGCATGAACAAGGATGGAGCCCGTGCTTGTAAGCCAATCAAAGAGCGTCAAGTCATTTAATATTTGTGACTTACCCTTTAATAATTGGAATCGATTGTTAATAATTTAATGATTTTAATATAACAACCAAATTAAAAATTTTATTTCAGTTAAAATTAATTACCTAAATAACCTAATATTTGTGAATTACCCTTTAACAATTGGAATTGAGCGTTAATATTTCAATTAAAATATTACCTTCAAATTTAAATTTTTTATGTGATATTTTTCAATAATCAACTTGAATGACTGAATAAAAACTAAAACATGAATATTTAAATTATATTTCGTTGAGGAAAATTACTATGATGAACTAACATATGTCAGAGAGGCTTAAATCAGGTACCAATACTTTTGATTGCATCATTTGTTTGGTAATTATTAACATATAAAAAAAATCATAAAAAAATGTTGTGAACAAATGGCGCCAAGTCGACGCTAATTTAAACGCAAGATAGAAGCATGGGACAATAACTGCATGGATGAAATCACACAATTTAAAAAAAAAATCATATAAATATTAAATTTAAAAAATCACAGAAAAATTTTGTGAAAAAATGGCGCCAAGTCGACGTGAATCTGATCGCCTCCAAGACAGAAACAAGGGACAATTACTGAATAGTTGAAATCACGCAGTAGGCGAACTGATTATGATATAATCTGATATTTAAAAAAACATGGAAATATTAAAAAATGCCAAGTTTATGCTGACAGCGTCAACTAGGACAATTTTCCGCAGTTTTAGTTCCGATTGGAAAATCGATTATTGTTAATAAAGGCTTTTGTCATTCCGGCTGTAAGACAGTATTTTACGGCTGCGCTGCTTTGCTTCGCGTCCACGAAACGCTGCCTACGGCTGTTATGACAAAAAATAGTGGGCGCTATACGGCCAAAAAAAATTTGTCGACCAATATGATTGTTGCAAACTTTATCTTTGCTAGAAAAGTTTTTTTCGGCCTAATGACAAAATATACTGTTTCAAACCCCGTCCATAGCAAATTGATTCGGAAAAAAGTCAACTTGGCGCTCCTAATTTTTCCCCTTCAATTCACTGAGTATCATTACATTGCCGGGAACATAGTAAAAAATTACAAGTATGTTTTAGCATTTCCTTAGCAAGTCATAAATTCGTAAGTGGATTATTGATTGAATGCATCGATTGATAATTACGTAATTACTTCAGTCGTTACGGACATCTTATCATGTATAAGCACGATATCTCATTTTAAACTATTCACTGATGATCTTCGTCCCCCACTCTTTGCCATTGTCTAAGAATGTGAGTGTGCCACCCTGCGTCGCTTATGAACGCGCCATCGCACTGACGGGTACCCACTCTCCTCATACCGATATGCTATTTGACGTTCATTGATGAATAGGTTAAGTACACGTCAGGTATACGGAATCTAATTGTTGATATAATAAGCTGAATCAAATCTCAATAGTTTTAGCGTTTTGCCAATTAGCGTGCGAACTCTAGCTTTGTCAATCATTCACTTCCTACGAAGTATGTTCATTATCGAACAGCCCGGCGCGCCAAGTTGACTTTTTTCCGAATCAATTTCCTATGGACGGGGTTTGAAACAGTATATTTTGTCATTAGGCCGAAAAAAACTTTTATAGCGAAGATGAGGGTTGCAACAATCATATTGGTCGACAATTTTTTTTGGCCGTATGACGCACACTATTTTTTGTCATAACAGCCGTAGTCAGCGTTTCGTGGACGCGAAGCAAAGCAACGCAGCCGTAAAATACTGTCTTACAGCCGGAATGACAAGAGCCTTTATTAACAATAATCGATTTTCCAATCGGAACTAAAACTGCTGAAAATTGTCCTAGTTGACGCTGTCAGCATAAACTTGGCATTTTTCAATATTTCCATGTTTTTTTGAAAATACGATTATATCATAATCAGTTCGCCTACTGTGTGATTTCAACTATTCAGTAATTGTCCCTTGTTTCTGTCTTGGAGGTGATCAGATTCACGTCGACTTGGCGCCATTTTTTCACAAAATTTTTTTGTTATTTTTTAAATTTTATAATAAGACGAAAGACGAGAACGAAGTACATCAGATGTGAGAAGCACATCCACTTTATAATTACCCGTTAAATAAAAGTAGTATTTCGTGGCCAGGTGGTTGAATTTCGTTTTATTCATGATCATGAGTGAATCATAAATCGCCCGAATCATATTACGATGGACTTTGACGGAGTTTATATCTCCGCAAATTGAGAAGAAGTTAACAACAGCTGTTCATTCGATTTCCATGAAGGTCGCTAGGGAATTGCATTTTTAAGCAGCCGCACAAAATTGAACTGCAGAATATATCTATATATTACTATATCAGAAAAAAAACATTTCAATTGACTAAGTTGGATTGATGAGATCAAATTTTTTGAATTGCTACTTATATACTACCTCTTATTAAGCATTTTTGTGTAATAGAAGATTGTAGTAAAATTACACAATTTTTCAATAGTTCTATTATAAGAACTTCAAATGGATCGGGTATTTATGGGCATTTTCATGTATGGAGGCTTGATGAAAACTTAGAATATGCGGACTAACGAGCTTATCTCGAATTGTATTTTATCCCGATTAACTATAATTTAGGTAAAATTGTCGATCCAGTCGATGAAAACATGCATAGGATCACTGGTAAGAAAATTTAATTACATAATGTTCACCTATTTCCATTGAACTTTCATGAACGTGTAATCTTCAGAACATTGCCCGAGTTACTACTCAGTAATTACGGGATACGTTTGTGCGTGACAAAGATAACTACGACAATTTTCATTAGGACTCAAAAGCAAGACTTTCATTTTAAATGTACTGACAATTATTTTAGAAATCTAGCTCATTGTGTCAAAATGTTCTCCATTTTTCACAAATACCATAAATTACCCGAAGTATCTAAAAATAGATATCTATTATCTGAAAAGGAAGCAACAAATGACTTTATGATAAAATACCATTTCACTATATTTAATTTGGGCTTCGCAACTTTAATTATAGTATTCGTTGTAAAATGAAGTTTTCAAAATCGGTCACCCAGCGACAATTTCCGACATTCCGAATAAAATTTTACATAAACTTCTAACTGACCTAAATTTTTATATATGTTATCTCTTGGCAGGGTTTTGTGACAGCCACTGTTTATTAATACATGGTGCATTCGATGTCAACCCGTTAGGTTTCAATCCTTAACTATGGTATTTAATTTGTTTGCAAATTCATCCTTCACCCATAACACCCAGTATCCTTTGATTTCGACTTTTAATCATACGATTTGCCCCAATCGAATTTGGAAGTTTTTTTTTTTAGACGTAATGTACTGCTTCCAGTGATGAGAAAAACACGAAAAATTGTCAAGACAAAAAAAAGCCGTTTTTAGGTGAACAATGAAAAAAATATTGCAATTTTTCAATGAATCATCACTTTTAGAGTTAACAAACGTTAATTTTCGTGACAAACCGTAATTATTAGAAAAACCCCACTGTAATTTCCATCAAATTTTTACTGCTTACAGTACTATATTGTCCACTGATTTTGGCTCCAACTGCATAATTGCATCTCAAAAAGGGGATTTTTTAATGAATTTTTGAAAAAAAAAATGTTTGGAGATTCAGGATTTTTTGAGGAACACTTATTATACATGTTTTTTCGATGGATAACCATATAGTTTAGGTCTATTTACATTATGACAACGTATCGGAACTCCTACATTTTCATAAAAAGTATGATACGTAAATGACATGAATCCCCATCGAAGATACATAACAACTGGTCTTCAAAAAATGATGAATTTCCAAACATTTTTTTCTTTTAAATTCATTAGAAAATTTTCCTTTGACATTCAATGTTGCGCTCGGCGTCAAAATTAGCGGAAATATAGGATTCTGAGCAGTACTAATTTAATAAAAATTAAAAATTGGTTTTCTTCAATAATCACGTTTTTGTGATGAAAATGAAACGTGAAAATTCACGTTTTTTGGCTACAAAAGTGCCGTGATGATGGATAATTATAAATTGCTATATATGTTCATTTTATCAACTAAAAACGACTTTTTTTGTCTCAACAATGAGTTTTGTAACTCGATACTGGAAGCGTAAATACCGTCTCAAAAAAAAAGTTTGAAATTCCTTTGGAGCAAAACGCGCCATTAAAAATCAAAATAAAAAAATACAGCATGTTATATTTATGTGATGAATGTATGGAGGAATTTTCAAACAAATAAAAAACCACGAGGGTTCAAACCTCACGAGCTAACATGAAATGCCCCATATGTCGTTGTCAGTAAAATACTTTAATCACTAACACTTTCAATTGACAATTAAAATTAATATTTTCCATTGAGAATGTATTTAGCATATAGAAAATTTTATCGTGCCAGCCTAGAATCTCATGATTTTGGGATGATGGGTGAATTAGAAGAAATTGAAATTGTTAATTTTTATAATTAAATGATTTCTGGAATTATTATTAGAAAATGATTTTTCTATTTAGAAAATTATGGAAAGGTTTTCGGCATTATAATAAAGGGTGGTAAATCGTTATAATCATAAAAAAACGTATCTCAATTCTACATCTACAAATTCATTGGAAGGCACTTACTATGGCACCTATTAAAGAACACTAATGAATTCCGAATATTTTTAGTGAAATAGTAAGTGGGTCGTAGCTCACCTAAAGAATCAGACATTTTAATTGTCTCGTTACTACTTCCACCAACACTGCTATAATCCATTTTGTACTTGAAAAGGTCCTCAATTCGTCATTCAGTTTTCTAAACCCACAGTTGTAACCCAATGCCCAAGTCGTTAAAAATCTTCCGCACTTTCAATACTTTATATTGCGCCTAAAAGGCCCAGTAAATCTGAATAATAAAATCCATTGCAACTTGGTTTTAAGTAAAATCCGTGTTCTCGTTTTCTTTTCAACAAATTCGATCGGAGGCCGTCCATGACTCACACCACGTATTTTTTCCCATTCTACTTGCAATGAAGGTGGGATGTTGAATGCTCGAAAGGGTCCTACAGTGGTACGCCTATGGAGTCTCGAGTCCATTTTCGAACGAGAGAAAGGTGGTTTTCTTGTTGGTTTTACCTTTCTCACCGAAGATGAATTGAGTTCCACAGCGTCATCCTCATGATGCTCTCGAGGTCGTTCCACTCACATTTACACATGCATTGTTAATGGAGAAATCAACGTGATGGATCAAAATCCATCCAGAGCAAGTGTGTTAGAGATTAACCGCATGTTGATGATTAACGATTTTTCTGTGTGATTTTTCTGGTACTCAATAAGTTGATTGATGATTTCACGGGCGATGCTGACGTTTGAATGCACTTCATGAACCGTAATCAGTTAGATTTACGAAAGTGATGGACATCCAATTACTGTGTATCAGCGAAAGTTCCAAATTACTGTTACTATGACAAGGGGAAAGCTTTCCTCTCTATTTATTTTGAGTTAAGGTGAAAGTAACCGCGACGTGGACGAAGTGGATGTGTGTTGGAGACGGCTAGCCACGGGAGTTTTGTTGTTTTAAATGTTTGGCTTACGCCCGATGTGAAAATCAGTGACGGTACAGTGGTTACTGATGCTGAGGATTAACTGTGAATCTTCTTGGTTTGTTGGAATACGTGTGTTAATTATTTTAGAACAAATAAAATATTGAAATTAATTGCAAATTAACTATTAAAATTTATACATAACATTTAGAAACTGATGGATTTATCAGAAGTAGCTTATTACACTGAGATTTTTTTAAACGAAATTTCTCAATAAAATATGTAAAAGAAAAAGTTTACAGATATTTTGGTCGATTTTTCCATTGTCTAATTTCACGTGAGAATAGTTATTCGAATGGTATAGAAAATCTAGGTTCCAAGAATGTGGAGGTCTGCCATAAATTGACCGTATGTGGGACACAAATACCAAGAAATTTTTCTATAAATTTTATCGAAACAAAAAGTGGGCTGACGCTCTTGTGGATGGTAGGTTAAGAGACAGGTATGATGTTAGGGACAGCGTTCAAAATGTTAATGTATTGAAGAAAAATCGACTCCCAAAGGCATAATTGGATTCGTAAATTACTCAACAATCAGTTTTATGCGTCGCATTTTATTGAACAGTTTTAGTTATGAAGTTATTCGCGTAATCGTTTAACTGTCCATTAACTCATCCCTGGGCCAAAATCCGTGCCTCCACAGTACCTGGTAAAAAACCATTATTTAATGTGTTATCAGTTTTTTTTTTGTTTTGTTTCTACCCATTTTACTGTTAGTAAGCATCTAACTAAATATGTATGATCCAATCCAAGAAACTGAGTGCTGCACTTTCCATTTCACATTATGCGAAAAACGTTTGAAACGTTGAGTAGTCTAGTTCAAAAAGTATCAAATCGAAGTATAACTAAATGACTTATGACCTGTAATACATTTGGAGTTATACTAAATAGCATAACATTTCAAGATGTTACAATTTCCCCCGCACACTACTGGAGCATCAAAAAAGCTGATAAAGATAACATATCATCAAAATGGACCAGGTATATGTTTCAAATTGATTGAAGCTTGCGATAAGGCTATGCGGGAATCTCAAAAACGCCTCTCGCGACAGTCGGGAAAATTCAAGAAAATTGATGACTCTGAAGTTTGCTGACTTTCAAGGAATATCTTTTTTTAGGCCTAGGGTGGAAAAAGTGAATCAGACGAATGCGGCTTTATAGTCCGAGCCGAAGGTGAAGATTATAACGTGCATGAGTCAGAATTACTTATTTCGCCGTGGCTATGGCGCTATTTTATGTCATCGGGGCCAAAAACGCGTTTTTATTCGGGCGAAGTGAGCTTAGAAACACGTTTTACCGGCCGCGATGACGTAAATAAATTTTAGATACTGGATATCTGACTGGGAAAGCGCGGAATTTTAAAAAGTGAAAAGACCATCATGACTTAATTTAATCGTGATGACTCGTATTTATATCATTCTTACGGTTAAAGAGCCATTATTTACAGGATAACACATTGAAAACTAGTCAACACCGAATCTCTCTTTCTGGAATGATCCAATTAAAAAAAAAATGGCCACGTTTTCAGTTTCCCTAAACCTCTTCATGATATTTTTCATTTTTTTTGTGCTCATTATTAAACAATAGATCCACTGAACCATCGCATAACTTTGTTGAGCTCTTGCATGGACATCAATCGTTCAATTGAAAAAAAAATCACATTTTTCAAATTGAAAAATCTTCTCGCCACCATTTTTGTTTTTTTTTCCAACGTTCTACCTGTGGAATATCCAGTGTTAAAAATTGAACGCGATGATTAATCAAATATTTTATTTTATAATCTAAATTGTTAAAAATACTATTGCAAAGAGAGAATACTTTATTCAGGAGGACAATATCTAGGTGTAAATGTATGTTATTATAACAAAAAAATTTATTATCACTTTTACGATCATCTTTTCATAAGTTTATTATTTTCATTTAAAAAAAATTTTGAGGTTAATGAAAATTTAGCCTATTATACTACGTACAATATTTACAATATTTACAATATTTACAATATGTACAATATTTACAATATGTACAATATTTACGATATTTATAATCGATACGCTCGAGCTTTTTTCTGATAGAATATCAACCTCCTTGGACATTTTCAACGTAGTACTATCGATACACTATCGTCTGAAGACTTTCCAAGACAACCCTGTCGAATGGATTTATATACATAATGTTGGCTCAGTTTTGCTTTATGGTTGGCTCATTTTCTAAATTCAACTAAATATCTTAAAGAATATTTATTTGAATATTTCAAAAAATTAATGAAGTTTTTACATGATGCTAGCGGACCAAAATTGAAAATTTCTCAATTATTCCAAATTAAGTGTGCAATTTGTAGGACATCGTTTGTAGAATCATTCATAATTCGTTATGCTGAAATAAATAATTATGATTTATCGCCGATCTCATAGCCCACAGACGTTCTCTGTATTGCCGACCCAAGTGTTCAGAGTTGTGTTTGTATTAGTGTTTCGAATATTATTTCGTTTTTCACGTTAAAAATCATTCAAGTGAAAGGCAGCCACTTAGATTAAAAGTTTATAGGGCTTATCATATTCTCCGAAAACATTATCGAAGTATTATTGAATATTTATTATTGAAAATTATTGGAATTTGCAACGGTGCTCTTCATTTCCAAATTTCCATGTAAATCGAACAATTTACTGAAATTCCAGGTCGTTTTTTTTTTCCTTTTCAGAATTTTTAAGACTTCTAAAATTCTCGAAAATGCTAGAAGACTAAAAAATTCTCGAGATTGTCCGAATCTGTTGAAAAATTTGCGAAACTTTCGTAATGTCTTTAATAAATTCCCGACGTATGCTCCGAAAGTTTTTTAATAGTAAGGTAATCGAAATTTTATGCAAAAAACCTCCTCGTACTCTACAAAAAATCTCAACTGTTTTGAAAGTCTAGAACAATTCTAATAATGCAAAAAAAATCTAACACACTTTCGCATAATATTTTTATTCATCTGCTTTCCTTATCAAATTTGATGGCATCTGGGTTTTTCAAAATACTTTTTCAGATATTATTTCATATCTCCTAAACTCATGACCCTATTGATGCTTAACATTGCTGAAATTATCCACTCAGCAGGACCAGAAGTATTTCGTTTGTAGGCATGATCTCCGAGTTTTCTGGAAAAAGTCAATTTTCCCTCCGATTTCTCTGTGATCCTTTCATCAGAAGTCATTTTGCTCCTAAGTTTGCCGATCCTTGGTATCTCTGGTTGATCCTCCAATTTGAATTGAGACTCAAACTTTATGACATCCGCAGAACAAAATTTCAAATTTTATCACTTGCCCAGATTTCCACCGCCGTCCTCCATACGGATATCGGAAAATCGGAAATTTGTATAGTGTTCCACATTTTTGTGACGTCAACCAAGTCGTTGGATAGGATTTGGATTAGGTAGGAAGGGGGACAGGATAATTCTCGATATAATTTTTACAAGAAAAGTTACTGAAAATATGGATAGTCCAGATCGGGTGTTTAAAGTAGACACGAAAAAACGCCCCCCCGCCACCCCCCCAACTCAACGATAAGTCATCGGTGAATTTCGGATTCTTCCGAGGTTTATCGGATCGGTGGCCCTCGGGTTTGGGACCGCCCAAATTTCAGTAGTAGTGTCTTAACGCAAGTCGTAGAGGCAAGTCTTCGTCAACATCTTATCGCGTACAGTCAACGTTTAAACTAACGCCTCTCAACCGTGTGTGAACATCCAATCAACGCACAACGAATTTCCCGTATTATTAACGTTTTTTAATTGTTGTAATAACGTGTTTCGAGTTGAGTTCAATTCAATTCAACGATTTTTGAACGACCCTTGCACATTTTGTATATTTTTTCGACAAGTGATAATTAAATGCGAAGTGTTTTATACCTCGGATTTCTTACTATTTGATCTCCTCTTCACGACACAATTTAGCAATTTTCCGACGCCCGACCACCCAAGAATCAACGTTCATTACTCAATACGGGGGTTTGAACCCTTAACTCTATACAAATTTCCCTTCTATGTAAAAAAGATTGCCGTATGAAGAACGACGGTGCTCGATATATACAAGAAAGGTGAAAGGAAAAAATGGCTTAGGAGCGGGATAGTTTAGTTGGGAGAGCACCCGATGCATAATCGGAAGGTCCCGGGTCTAAACCCCGGTATGGACTATCCATTTTTTCAGTAATTTTTCTTGTAAAAATTATATCGAGAATTATTCTCTTCCCCTTGAAGATTCTTAGCGTCTCTGGCTGATAACCTGGTTTCTACGCAACCCATGTGGGATGGCCGGATTGGCCTAAGGATCGGGCCAAGCTCGACGCCAACATTTCCGATGCTTGGAAAAGAGTTTGGCCCAATGCTCTATCGAGCCTTGGATGATAACTCCGGTCCGATTATCGGTGCCTTAATTGGCCCAATGATGGCAGCCGATTGACAGCCGAGTCTTATTAATTTTACCCAAAAATATTAATAACATTTATGTTTTATTGAAATTTATCCGATTATCAATCTTTTCACGTCGATTGAAAGAAGCTAGTAATAAAAAAGGACAACAGACTGGACTGTAAATGCTCGGCATATGATTGGCTACCGAGGTACTCATTAAATTAATTAACAAAAAATGAAAAAAGAACATTTCGTCGTTTTCATGATTTATTAGTTATCCCTAACCACGGCGGCAAGGATATCGACCCTGAAAAAACCTAATCGACGAACTCAAATTTTGGACTTGACGAGACTCGAACCCAGCCCCCTGACACTTCACCATTTCATTCTTAGAGAATTGTGTTCCCGTAAGAGTCGCCGCCGCGCCGTAGCGCTAGTTGTCCTTATTCTCGAATCTTAGATTTTAGCGTATCTGACAACGTAACCTCTACAACAAATTGTCGTATGTCAATATCGAGTGTCAAACAAGTGTAAATTAAAAGTAGGAATAAAAATATAAAATAAAAATAAATTAAAAGAACAAAGTGTGATCACAGTGCAGTTTCACATGAATCATGCCAGTCTGTGCTGTGAAGGGGTGTACGATTGGATATAAATCCAATCCTGAGAAAGGACACTTTTTTGGCACTCCGAAAAACTTGGAATTGTTGGGAAAATGGAAAAATGCGACTCAAAGGCCAGATTTACATGGGAAACATAAAATTTGCCATAAACATTTTTTACTAAGTGACATTTTGAGAGTGAGAATTCTATGTTTTATGAGGAGCTGGTAATTTTATCACTTAAATAAATATTTTATTCACCAATATAGCTGGTAATTTTATCACTTAAATAAATATTTTATTCACCAATATGATAGCAATATGTTTTCCTTTCTTCAAAAATACCCAACTCACGTTTCAAACTAGTTAGGATCCTATAATCAAATTTGCCGCTATCTCACGACAAAGGCCAACTAGCGCCACTCGGCGCGGCTACATTAACGGCACGGGCTGGACGGCAGAGTGTCAGGGGGCTGCTCGAACCTACGATCTTTCGCACACTAGTCCTACGCCCTAACCACTAACCTAATACCTAGTAGTAGTAGTAGTAAGGAGTTTATTGACTTCATATACATATATACATGGTATGTACAGGTAGTAATGCTTATGATCTAGGTCTCCAGCCAGTGGCTCTATATCTAATGTAAGAAGGCTTATGATAACATATTAGTTATTTAGAATGGTTGGATTTAATTTACAGAAAAAGTGTGAATAGGGAAAAGATAGAATTTAGAAAAAACCCTATGATTGATGAGTTGGGATAGGAGGGATGTGGGAGGGAATCGGGATAGGGGGAGGGTTGGGGGGGAGAGGGTCAGCGATATGACCAGCAGGATTTTTTGTGGATTTCGAGGTGGTTAATTAGGATATTGTCGTGAGGTTTGTGTTGGATTCAGAGCTGGAGGTGAGTTTGAGGATGTAGGGAGGGATGGGTTCAGTGTTTGATGGCCAGGGAGTGTTGGAATTTGGTAAATTTATCTTTTTGATAGATTTACACAACTTAGTTTCTGAAAGTAATAAAGTTTTTACATTGCGATTTTAAGATTAGGTGATTTAGATCTGTTTGATGATGATTTTCCTTTCTTTTTAGATCAATAATATTTAGAGCAGGCAAGTTTAAAATTAAGCTTCTTCGTGGGAGCCATAAGAGAAATTGGGGGTGAATAAGTGATCATCTTCCACGAGGATTTTTAATTTTTCTAAAGGGGAAGCCGCCTTTTTAAGCCTTGAGATCATTTCTCTGGCACTGGAAATAATAGAAAAGATATTCATTTCTTTAAATTCGTTAACAATTTCTTTGGCTTCTGTGAACTAATTCAATGTGCTACTTAATTTGGTATGAGTTGTAGAATGAGTTGGAGTTGTCGTCCTTGGCTTGGATGATGCTGGTCTAGGAGGCTGCGTAGAGGTGGTTTCAGGGTTGCGCGGTGCTTCAGACTTTGGTGGAGCAATGAGCAGAGGAAAGTCATCTAGGTTGAGCTGTTGATTGGCTGAAGATGATCCAGTCAATAATGGAAAGGTTGATGGTCCGATGGATGTGTGGTCGGTCAGCCGACTCGCTGGGGGTTTCGAGGTTGGTTTGGAGCTGGCCATCTTGATGATGAATGATTGCCTCTCAGGACACTGTCTGTAGCTGGCCACGTGTCTGGCCACGTGATTGGCTTCACAGTTCGCACATCTGAGGGATTTTGATGTGCACTCTTTGGCATCGTAATTTAGTCCACATTTTACACAGCGATGTGGAAGTTTGCAGTGGCTGCTTGCATGTCCAAAATGCTGGCAGCGAAAACATTGGAGGGGTTGGCCGTTGGATTTAAATTTCTCCACTTGGAATGTGTGATGCAGAATTGTGGGAATTTTCGAGATGTCAGTTAATTTAGTGCCTGGTCCGACTGTAATGGCGAATATTGGCAATTTTGTAATTGAATCATATGATCCTTTTTAATGAATTGTTTGATGGCGTTAACCTTAATTCCGGTGGCTGCGATTTCCTCCTCGATGTCCTTTTCGGAGAAGGATGACGGAAGGCCTTTCAGGATAAATTTGGAGTATTTATGCTGCTTGAACCCATAGGTAAAGAAGAGGATTTTTTTGTCATCCAGGATTTTGCAGACGATTTCGTGATCAGCACGATTTTGGAGTGAGATGATGGATGAATTGCCGCGGCATTTAATCTTGAAGTTATTATTAGTTACCTTGGCTAGGATGTTATTGACGAGTTGTTTTGTGTCAACGCCTCCATTGTTAATAACAATGGGAGGAGTTGGTTCGATGGTTTCCGATCCAGGAAGAATGGTTGGATTTGCAGAAGATGTAGTAGCACGTGGCTGAGAGAGGTTATGCATGGGGTCTGCGACTCCCGTTTTTTTTAACTTCGATTTATTCCCTTTAGGGCTCATTTCACTTTTCCTCTTAGAGGTAACAGAAGTGGTTTTGATGGGGTTATTATTCACTATGGGTAGGTGGTAGAAAAACAGATAGGGTTAATAACTCTATTCAGTACTCTGATGGTTGAGGTTTAAATCAGAAACGCTAGAGTAGAGAGGGCACCGAAAAACATCGGTGCGGCTCGGGACTCCGAGCGGAACTGAACCTAATACCTAAGTCTTGTAGTAGGAGCATAAAAACGACTTCATAAATTTCAGTCAGTTATTTTTGCGCATTTTTTTTTCTTTGATCAATTAATATAGACAATTGAATATCAGTAGATTACTGAGTATTTCCGGGATTTATTGAATTAAAAAATAATTGCAATAATTATAGTAATTATTATTTTTATAGCAAACGCCTGCTTTTCCGAATTGTTCAATTATTATTATCCTGTACTCAACGAATAATCGTTCCGATGAAATTTTAATGGATTTTATTGTTTAATGTTAATTATAATATAATCATACTCAATGAATATTTCAAGTGACGGATATTGGAGAAGCTATGTAGCACCCATGAATGGCCAATGATCGACCAACCAATATTTATTCAACAGATTGGGGCTTTACCATTGGACCAACATCGCTCAACCGAACCTCGTTGGATGGATGTAGGCCAACATATTGGCCGAATATCGAACAACCGAGTATTGGCGAACGATGCTGGCCAGTGTACTGGTCACGCATCCGAAAACCGAATGTTGACAAACAGATGCTGGCCAATGCATTAGCCAAGTCTGTAGGCTCGGAAATTCCTACATGGGAAGACTCCATGGTTCTTGCGCCTCTACCACGAATATATATAGAATCTCTAGCGTCCATTACGTGAAGTTGATTTTCCTGGAGAAGATTTACTATAGCGGTGCACTGTCCATTATGATTATCAAATTCGTCTTTCTCGTCATCTGGCTCACTTACATTTTCTTCTTAATTATCACCATCTTCTTCGTCGTCGTTGAAAGAGCGCTGCAGATATGCTCACCAGTAATTTTAAAAAGACAAAAGAAGAAGACATGTGATTTTTTCGTTTGGAAAAATTCTTGCAAAACATTGAAAAATTGTATGACTTTCAATAAATAACATTTTTTAAATTTTATTCTTAGAAAAACAGGACCGCCGTATACCTGGCGCACTAATAATCAGAAATAATTAATTTACCTGTGCAATAATTGAGCAATCTTTTGGGGAAATTAAGGACACAGGTTGTAGAATTGAGGACGATCTCATTAATTTGTTATTAATTTTTTTTTACTCAGGGCGTATCGTTAGCGTCAAAATTTGTTTTTTGTTTTTTGTAATGGAAATTCTGTAAAATGATTTGGGGCATCGATACCAATCATTTTTACAATTTGAGACATTGAATTAAAGGCGATAATTAATAAACTATATTATTGGAGCTTTTTCCTCTACTCTGCACTTTTGCCCTTTTCCACCATTTCCAACTCTCAATGCCCGTAACTTTTTTCGGGTTAATTTCAATTGGAGATTATTAATTAAACTATTTAATTAGTAGGAAGTTATTTGGAAAAATGAAGGACATAGGTTCTAGAATTTAGGACAACCTTATTGATTTTTAATTATTGTTTTCCAACTAGGATTTATAAATAGCGACAATTGTTTCTTTTATTATTTCTTTCAATAATTCAATCAAAAATCATGTACGTTGATTTGGGGAATCGATCCCAATGATTTCTGCAATTTGAGACATTAAATTAGTCATTAATTAATTAATTACCTCGCAAAACTGTGTTGGCGTGAGAACGTTTCTCAGCGCGCCATCCCCACTACTGCCTCCCATCCCTTGGCTGTAGAGTAGAGGAAATGCTATATGCAGAGATTATAGTGGAGATTGATAGCAGAGATTATAGGGGAGATTGCTAGGAATTATGGAAAGGCTTTGACAAGAGTTTTCCTACGGCGGCTACGGAACTACGCACAAAGAGCCCGTGCCCGTAAGTAACACAGGTCGCGAGCCCGAGAGTACCGATAATTTTCAGAGCCCGTCAGTATGGATAAGCCAGACCGCGAGCCTGAGAGTGTTGATGATTCGGGAAGACCGTGCTTAGCAATATGGCAAAGCGCGAACCCGAGAAGGTCGCTAATTCGAGGAAATCGTGACGAACAAAAGCATTCGAGGGGTAGGGGGTATGGTGGAGAAACAACGGACGGATTTTCATGATTTCGAAAAATTGTTCAACAAATTGGGGAAAAAATGCCTCGCGAATGTATACTCAAACGATTGGGAATTGCATGAAACGCCCACATTTTCTGGTCCGTCAGAACCTTTTTTTCTCAACGGTTCCATTTTTATAAACATATTCTACGATGCTGAAAAAATCTAAGGCGCCCTGCAAGCGCTCAGCAAGAATTATCTGTATTTTTACTGCATGGTCTAACAACTAGTCTTCCTTCCATACTCTACTTTGAGGAAATATTTCGATTCACACTTACTTCACGTGACATCATAACTGAACATAAATGCTTGGATCAGCCTTTTCTGGTGTTGTAAATTTTGTTTGGGAGATAATAAAATTGATAATATTATATATTCTTTGCACCAAATATTCGAGTAAAAGTATCTGACTTATCAGATGGAGTTGAAACTCGTTTTATACTTCTTTCAATTTTCTTCGACTGGGATGAGAGTTCATTGTTATGAATGCATCGGACGATTCGCCCAGGAAAAAATTCTACCAATTAATCTTGTCTTCTCAGTGAATTTTTTTTCAGTAACATATTTAATTGGCAGAATTATATTTTTGCTCAGTACATAAATTTTATATTTATTGAGACTGTGCTTCACAAACACATAAAGAACATATTCACTCTATTTTGATCATCGTGCAACATATACATCTCGACAAAGGCGGAAACCTTGGTGTTAAGCTTCTTAATTTGCAATTTTTTACATAAATTGTACGGGTTACCCTCTAGAAAATAGCCATTTACACTCCTGCATAGATTCTCGTACAGCGCAAGGAAAATTGTTGCATGGAACGATTTATTTAGTTAATTTTACAATTTTTGAATCGTAAAATTGCATGGGTAGAATTAAAGCGGTGGACCATAATGAAGGATTTGGCCATTTTACTATTGTCAATCGTAATTCGAAAATAAAAAGAATAGCTCCAAATCTATTCCTTTTTTTTTATTACATTGATGAAGAAAATGTCCAATTGTGTTGGAGGAAAAATGAAGTCAATTCTAGAGAATTGTGCCATCATAGAATATTAAAAATGCAAATCCCGTTCCAAAAAAACCTAAAAATGTCAGAAACATATGTGAGCATTCGCCGCGAAAAAAGACCAATTTCACATGGTGAAAATAATGAGTCGATAATGAAGGAAAACAATGAAACAAAAAAAGCGAACATGGAGCCTTTTGTTTATTTCCTTATACCCGATTTGTAAACATCACTCGCTGCTTTGATATTTTGTGAGTTCACATCGTAAAAATGAAAATTTTGCATGTAAAAATCCAGGGACGCTGCAGCAATTAATATCTTGGCTGTAAATATTTTTTCTCTCGTTTTCCGTAAAAAACAAAAATTGTCAATAAATTATCAATTCCAGTCAATTGAAAATTTAAGTTATTCTTTTCCTGAATAACCGATAAAAGCATGGATTTATTTTACTTTATTACTGCAACTTAATGAAATGAACATAGTACTCAATTTATTTCAGCTATCGGAAAAAAAAATCAAATTTGAAACGTAAAATTTGAGAAAGTCAAGTATTCTCTCCTATTCCATTGACAAATTATTCAGATCCTAAAAACATTTTTTTTAAATATGTACATCGAAATTTTTTTTCTCTTTTTTTTACGATTCTAATTCATGATGTTTGGATAGAGAAATGTATTAAAAAAAATCAAAGTCCCAATTTCCAAAAAAAAATTAACGTATATTTCCCGGAATTCACGATTTCGTACGCGGTTACGATTTTTACATCTTAATTTTTCTTATTAAAATCTTCCCGTGTGTCCTACACTTGGAAAATTACTGTGCAGCACCAGAAATATCATCGTGCAGGGGCAGATAATTTATCAATGTTACAATGGCCAACATATTAAGAATTACATGAGTCGAATACTTTATTTTGGGGCAGGTTGTATCATTGATTCTCCCTAATCTCTCAAGAGCTACTCGACTGAATTCTCTTTTTTGTCTTTTGAGCATAATATCCGTTCCGGTATCTTGTATTTCCATTAATAATCATGTATTAATGATGAAGAAAACACTCATACAATGCTAGATGTTTGTTCAAAGTGTTGCTAGACAATGCTAGATGTTTGTTCAAAATTGCTGAAGGAATATACTTCATATTGAGGGATAAATAATGATGGAGAGTAAAAACTTACAACCCTGGTTCTTTTTTCAAATTTACTTATTAATTTTAATGTTTTCTGAAAGATAATTTTTCAACCAAATTTGGTTCAATTAGTCGAACTAATTTTCCTTGCCATTGAAATCTTCGATCTGTTTTTCACCGGTAGCACAGCATTTTTACAAACATTTCATGTTCTCTCAGAAACGTTGTATTTTATGCATTTGTTCTTATTAAATCCTTCACATCACCACCCTGACAAGGAAATAATTAAGATCAATCACTGATTTCATTCAATAGTGGCTTAAGGTGGTTTCGATTTTTTTGATCCCCATGAGATTCTAAAACGGTCATAACACATCTACACGGAGAGAAAAACACAGGAAAAATTACGTGACTAATCACGTAATCGTGGGCTGGAGTGTCATTTCCTTAATTTTTACTGGAGAACTTGGGAAAAAATGAGAGACGAACAGTGAATTTTATAATTTGCTCTGGAAAATGTACGTGACTGTCACGTAATTTCTTACGAACTTGTAAAATTTACCACAGTTCCGGTTAAAATTATTCCGAGTGAAGTAAAAATTATCTAGTTTCACTTGAATTTTACGTGACGTACCGTAATTTGTCTGATCCTATAAGGATTGATCCAATCAGTCTATTAGTTCTATTAGTCTATTAGTTTTTTGCACCAATATTTAACACTCCACTGCTCGTGCCATCAAGTGACAAGTTGAATCGCATAGGGCCTATTAGAACAATAAAGAGGGCAAAAAGGGCCAGAATATATATGCAAAAAAAACATTATTATAAATTCAAATCATTCTTTTGCCGCAACAACATATCGATTATCATAATAAATTCAATTTCCTCTCTCGTATTCACTCTCGGGTTTTTACGAATTTCTCCTTATCCTTACGAATTTTCCAATCTCTTTGACAGGAGTACCACTCGGCAGTGAAACTGTGAGATTAGAGCGCCAATAAATTGTGACCACCGTTGCCGGGAATCGAACCCGGATCTCTGGCATGTTAGTCTAGCCCCCAAACCACATGGTCACTACCGTCGGTTCATACTAAATTATTTTCATCTTAGCGAGTCGAATAAGCTAGATTCACGTTTGCGTGTATATTTCCATTTTTTAATTAGCGACTATGTGTATTAAGGGAGTTCCACGTGAACTCAGCGTGGGCAAGGCCCTCACCATCGTCAATTCTGTTGCCGATTTTTTCTGGGGTTGTACATGAAATAAGTTAACTTCTCAAATTTTTTCAGATTTTTTAACGCATCCTGTGAGTCGCGTTGTTTTTTTCTGTCAAGTTTTGTCTTCCAATGCCCGTAACTTTCGTAATAATCGAACGAATGAAGTTTTTCCTTTTTTAAAAATACGAGTTCTGGAACAAATTTTTCATTTAAAAAATGAGCAAAATTTTTTCCCTCCGTTCTTCCATTGATTTTCTTGGAAAAACATGGAAAAAAAAAATAAAAGAATGACTTGTTTTGAGGGTTGGACGTTTTAATTTTTTTTTTATTTCAGCGAATATACTGCACCAAGAAAGAATTCCACCGCTGGTTAAAGCAAAAATTTTGCTTTTTTTATGAAAAGATTGTCCGAAAACGCGTATTTTGAGGAAGAAAAATCTTCATTCGATTCATTTTTACGGAAGTTACAGGCATTTGAAGACGAAACTTAAAAAAAAACATGCCGGCTCACAGGATGTGTTGAAAAATCTGAGAAAATTTGAGAAGTCATTGTATTTTATGTATAGCCACAAGAAAAATCGGCAACATCATTGACAATGGTGAGGCTTTTGCCCACGTTGAGTTAACGTAGAATTCTCAATTTATATTCCCATGACGATAACAATCTAATTGCTCCAAAATATCGATTTCTTAGACATCTATTATTCCATAAATTTCTAACAATTAAATAAATTGATGTATGCATTTTCCATGTCCAGGAACAAGAAATTGAGGAGGATTTTCAGGGGAAACAGAATCAGGAGGAATAATTAGAAATTTCCAGAGAAAAAAAAACTTCTGAGGAATAATTAGACCTTCATCGAGTATTCACTTTACAATGTTGATTTTAAGCAATTTTTCTTCAAGGAAACTTTTTAGATGAACTTTCAGTGGAGTTGAATATTTTAACGGAATAATGTGGTCTGAATTCCCAATTGGGTGGGTGAAGTAAAACTCAAATCTAATATTGAAAATAAAGGATTTTTCTACATAAGACGAGGTTAAAACTCTGCTAATTCTTAATTTGAAAAACTAAAATGATAAAGAAACCAATAGAAATTCCATCGAATTCCTGTTGGAATTCTATTGGGATTCTAGTGAAATTCTCTTGAAAAATTCTATTGATTTTTGCACCAGTTCTATGGGAAAAATTTAATGGAAAAGTCAATTGATTACTATTTTTCTGTGAAATTTTTTAACGTAAATTTTCTGTTTTTTCCGCTATATTTTCATTTCTTTCTCAATTAAATCCAGCAAAGAAAAAACTTAGAAAATTCATCTCCAAAAATTTCATAGAAAAACGAAAATCTATTGGCTACCCGAATGTTAATAGAAAGGTCTAGATTTCGATTTGTGGTCTGAAAATTTCAGATTTTTTTCTCGAATTATCTGTGAACTAAATATATTGAGAAGTAATTCCTACTAATCCAAAATCGATTCCATCCATTATTTTCCATTTTCCTGACCGAAAAATGTGGAAATGCAAACACCCCCACCCTACTCCAAAAACTATTGAAAAATGTCAGGTAATCTATTGACTTTCCTATTAAATTTCTCCGATAGAAATGGTGCAAAAACTGACAGAATTTTTCAAAGGAATTCCTATAGAATTTAATTAGAAATTCCATTAAATTGCTATTGGGTTTTAAATTGAATTTCTTCAGATGTGGATACGTTTAACTGGATACTACAGAGGAATGGTAAACTTTGAATTTCCAATGGAATTATGTAGGGGCATAAAATTAAATATAGTGTTGAACATGAAAGATTGTTTCTACGTTAAACGGACTCGCAAATTTCATTTGAAAAAATATAATAGGTTATTAGATTGGGACAAAGTTTATTTTGTAACTAGTATCACTGATTAACTGATACCTTAATGATCATTTTATTAATCATAGCATCATCACTCTTCTAAAAATGTGAAAGAAAATATGATCAAAATATGAATCTGGAATAAAGTTTTAGCATAAAATTTTGCACTCTCAAGATTTTTATTTTGAGTACCCACTCTAAATTACCAAAAATGTTCTGTGAAACCAGTTTGGATAAGAAAAAAGTCTATAATGTAGGTGGGAGAGAGGAGTCGATGCCCTTTCCCAACTTTGTTTGTGGCAATTTGAAAGCATTTCTGACTGCCAAAAAGGGTTATTTTCTCTGTAAAAAATGAGAAAATTCTTGAAAATTCAAAATTTGAAAAGCAAAATTTCGTCCACTTTTCTTCAATTTTCTTTTATGAAAACCCCAAATTTAGAAAGTAAATCAGGAGTATGCGAAAACATTGGTGGGCTAATCAGACCAATAGACGGACGGTCAAGAGAAATCTGAGGTTCCTAAAGGCGTGTTGGGATAATACTGACTTGCAGTGTAAATAGTAAAGGGATGAACGTTAAAATGATAATTATATTTCGTCCTCGCTCTCCTACATTACAACTGTAGTATACCTTCTGTCGGCAAGGCAGCACACGCGAATTTAGTGTTAAATAGAAACGAAACTAGAGGTGACCCCCACCTCTCCTAAACCTCGCGCGGAGACTTCACTTTTCTTTCGTGCGCGCTGGATAGCACATGTGTTTTAGTTTTGTGAAGTTCTTTGTGTATTCAAGATGGGAAAGAAATCCAAAAGATCTCGTAAAAGAGACGAACTATTAGAGAGATTATTGAATAAAGTGCAAAATATAGAAGAGAAGTTGGAGATTCTACCAGATAATTCTGAAAATAAAGCGCCGAATAACCAAGAGAATCTAGAAGAACACACCAGGAATACACCAGAATCATCCACAAGTGTGTCAGAAGCATTGGTGGATATGACGGCTGAGGAAAACAGGGAAGACGAGCCTAATGAGGATTGGATAAAATTCGTAAGTTTTTATTATAAAAAGTATAGTGAAATTAAGCCATTAATTCTGAGAAAAGAACAAAAGTTGTATATATATAAAAAGGTCGGTGCTTGTTTGGATGACAAGACCAAGACTCGTAACACGTCTATGCTTACTGTGTGGTAAGACAAAGACGCAGAAAGCCTGTCCGTGCTTACTAGATGGCAAGACAGGGATATGATTACAGCGTTGTGTTTGATTGAGTTTTCAAAACAAACATTTAGGGTCACAACTCTAAGAGTTTTTTGTGACCGTATACAATTTACGTTTCTGTCTGGACTGAGAGAGAAAATTTGTTTTGTCTTTTTCACTAGCTGGGTGATGACCCAACTTCCAGTCAGGCAGAAAAACTGCATATTAATGGAGATCTTTTGAAGAGATGGGTATTTTTCTGTAAAGAAGGAGTAAAGAAGGAAGATCTAGAGTCACTTATGAGTAAATATGCATGTGTATGGGAACTAGAAACCCCAAAACTAAATGCGCAAATCGCGGCTGCCATGAAGGACATTGCCATTGTAAGAGATAAACATATGGTGGAAATTCAAAAGATGGCAGGAACAGCTCTGTCAATCTTGGGTTCAGTGGTTACCAATATTTACCAGGAGAGTAATGACTTTGATTTGGAAAAATTCTTGACACGTATACGTGATTCGGAGAAAATTCTGACTGCCATTATACAAAAACAGTCATATACAAGAAAGGCCTTCATTGAACCTGGTTTATTCAAAGACGCAAAGACTGTCTTGAAAGAGACAAAGTCTGAAGAATTTTTATATGGCAAAGAATTGTCAGACAAAATAAAAAAATCAAAGGCTCTTAATAAAATGAGCGATAGTCTCAAACTCCCTCAAGTGAGAAAAAGAAACATGATTCCAAATCAACAGTCAAACTCCAGGCTCCCGTTTGCGAGACGTCCGATAAGTCAGACAGGATGTACTACTTTCACAGGACGTCTGAAACAAAAGGTATTTTCAAGAAATAAGTAACAATTTGTCAATCATAGAGCTCAGGTGCACCGACCCCCGAAAGCTCCGAACAAGTCCGAGAGGGGCGATTAAATAACGTAAGAGCAGAAAGATTATCTCTTTTTTACGATAATTGGACACAAATTACTGATGATAATTAAGTTTTATCTGGTATTTCTGGATACAAGATTCCAATTGATAAAGACTTGATTAAAGGTAGTTTTAGAAAATATGAATATTCGGGATCAGACTTAGAAGCCACAAGATATTGAGTCAAAGAATTATCATTTAAAAAAGCCATTAGGGCGTGTTCTGACACGGGTGACCAGTTTTTATGCCCTTATTTTTTAATCAAAAAGCCCGATGGTTCAAGTCGATTTATTTTAAGGTGGTTGTCGCGCGACAGTCTCTGTAAAAAGTTTATCCGCTGTAAAACGGGCCAGTTTAGAACACAATCTTTTAGCGGTATATAGTCTCACTTGATTGATTGCATTGTGCATGGATAGCTAAAGCATAACTATATATTTTCCATATTAACTATTTTCAATTATATAAATTTATGAATTTCCGATAATTATATTCCGTAAACCAAACGGTCAATCGATTTGATTTTTTTTTCTGTATTTCCTCCCACGATGTATAATCCACGTTTTTTTTATTTCTGGAACTGTCGAGCCGTTGATTTTTAAAAAATTCTAATCGGCAAAACTCCATTTAAACACGTGTTAAATCACTCGAATTTCAAAAATTTATATCTCAAGTTCAAAACGGTCAATTGCAAACGGAAAAGGCTCATTTTGTTGCTAATTTTTCAAACTATTCACCATAAAATTTTTAACGAAAACTGTCGAAAAAAAATTCTACGCGACAACAACCTTAAATTTAAAACAACTCAACAAATTCATATCAAAACAACATTTCAAACTTGAGGATTTGAGAACAGCACTTGAACTGACTCTTCCAGATTACTTTCTGGCGTCAATTGATCTGCAAGATGCTGACTACTTACTGCCAATGCATGAAGAAAGCAGGAAATATCTATGCTTCAAGTTTGACAATGTGTTATATGAATTTCTTTGTTTACCTTTCGGTTTGTGTACAGCCCCATTTTTTTTTACGAAGGTTAAGAAAATAGTGATGCGAAAATTTAGAAATAGAGGCTTATCATCAGCAATTAAGTTAGATGACATTTTATGCATAGAAGAAACGTTCGAACTGGGTAAAGACGATTTAAAGAATATACTAAGCTTTCTAGAATGGTTAGGATTACTAGTAAATTACAAAAAATTAAATCTCACTCCTTCCAAAAGGTGCAATTTTTAGGGTTCATTATTGATACCGAGAAGTACATGATTGAGTCACCAGATGAAAAAAGAAAAAAGATTTATGACCTACTAAAAATTTATTTGAAAATTGATAAATAGATGATCAGAGAATTTGCTCACTTATTTGGAAAGATTATTGCATGTTGTCCAGCCATCGAATATGGTTGGTTATATACCAAGGCTTTGGAAAAAGAAAAAATTTATCATCTTGTATTCAATGATAACTGTTTTGCTAAGGCGATGACCATAAAAGAATCTATTAAACAAGAGTTACGTTGGTAGAGAGAAAATATATTATATAGTGTTCACTATATAAAAGACGGTTCTTTTGCTATGAAAATTTATACCGATGCATGTAAAGCAAGGTGGGGAGCATGCACTGATGATAAAAGAGTTTACGGTTTCTGGTCGAAAACGAACAAACAATGCATATCAACTTTTTCGAATTATTAACAGTAAAGTTAGCTTTCACAGAATTAGCTTCAGAAATTGAGAATCGCAAAATATTATTGCGGATAGATAACACTACGGCTATTGCCTATATAAACTGAAATGACAAAAACTGGTGTTTTTGTAAAGAAACTCAGGCAAGTAAAAGTTTCGCACAATTGATTCCGTGAAAAACTCATGTTTTGCCAAAATATGGCATTCCAAGATATTAAAAAAAACTCAGAAAATGTAAATGAAAATGCCAAGAAAAGTGATATGAGTCGATTGAAAGAATTCAATAATGAAAATAAAAAAATCAGTAGAGACAGGACCAACTTACTTGGCGCGGTTTTTCCCAAGAACTAGAGCTAGAACCAAAGATTATTTTCAGTCACTTTTAGTTATTAATCAAATTGCATTTTAGCATTATCCTGTAAATAAAACCGCGCCAAGTAAGTTGGTCCTGTCTCTACTGATTTTTTTATTTTCATTATTGAATCCTTTCTATCGACTCGTATCACTTTCTTGGCATTTTCATTTACATTTTCTGAGTTTTTTTTAATATCTTGGAATGACATATTTCGGCAAAACACGAGTTTTTCACGGAATCAATTGTGCGAAACTTTTACTTGACTAAGTTTTTTTTACAAAAACACCAGTTTTTTTCATTTCGGAAGATTTCACGGATTTTTCAAGAACTGCATATAATTTTCAGAGCATATTTCAGTTAACAATTATAATTATGAAAATAGTTAAAAAATATAAAATCCAAGGGAAAAAATAAAAAATTCTCCTCTGTTTTCCTTTTGTGATTCAACGGTTTGAGTACACTGATGGCAACATCTCAACGGCATATTTTTGCCAATATTAATCGAAAAAAGGGAAAACTTATATCAATGAAAAGCTTTGTATTTTATGGATTGAATACGATTAGGAGGTGGTGGAAGGGGTAGTTGTGTCGTGTATAGATACACCGTAGCTCTCGGCCTTATTTGTTGGATAGTGACGAAACTTTTACTTGGCCGATACGCTACCGCGTATCTCGATAAGATGAGTGGCACAAAATTTCAGAAATACGATAAATTAGTGCCCGAAATTTGGCAGTGGGCAGAAATTAGAAAGATAATCTCAATTGCTTCTTATATTCTATCCAAAGAGAATAACATTGCCGATAGTTTGTCTAGAATCAAGAATGTAGATACTGAATGGGAGTTGAATGATGTCTATTACCAAGAAATCACCAGAATTTTTGGTGAACCTGAAATTTACTTATTCACGTCCGAATTAAATACTAAATGCAAAAAATTTGTTTCATGGAAACCAGAGAGTAAATCTCTCTTTATTGATGCATTTACTATGAACTGGGCTAATTTTTATTTTTACGCTTTCCTTCACTTTTCGCTAGTTTTGAAGACTTTAGCGAAAATAAGGCGAGAAAAATCGTATCGTGTCATAGTGGTACCTTTTTGGAGAAATCAGCCTTGGTTTCCACTTTTTGAAAAATTAGCAATAGGCAAGCCACTGATTTTTGATCCTAATACAAGAATACTCATTTCTCCATGCAGGAAATTAACACACCCGAGAGCAAGCCACAAACCATATAAACCATCTGAATTTAATTGCGAGCAGAATATCCGGGAGACTTCTTTAGCAAAGAAAGTTCCCAATGAAACATTGGACATTGTTCTAGCTTCCTTAAGTAAATCCACACTAAAACAATATGGCAGTGCTCTAAAGCAATGGGATGAGTTTTGTAGAAGGAAGGATAGAAATTGCTTAGATATAAATGCTAATGCAGTTTTAAGTTTTTTATATGAAAGATTTAAAGCGGGAGCTTATGGTACGCTTAATTCATGCCGAAGCGCGATTTCATTACTGTCAAAGAGAAAGATTGGTGAAAATGCAATCATTTGTCGTTTTTCAAAAGGTGTTTATAAGATTAGACCTTGCCGCCCCAAGTATTCCTCAACATGGGACGTAGCGATAGTTTTAAGTTTTTTTAGAAAAATATGGTAAATCTTCTTTAGAAAATTTAACGTGTAAGACCATAAGGCTCTTAGCTTTGAGTACGGCTCAAAGAGCACAAAAATTATCAAAAATTAGTATTGATTTCATAAGACAAATGTCTGATGTGATTGAAATAAAAAACCCTGATGTGCTGAAAACCTCAGGCCCAGGGCATAATCAGCCATGTTTACGATTGCCAAAGTTTAATGATAAGCCTTTGTTATGTGTTACTTCAGTAATCAAATTATATTTAGATAGGACAAGTTCCTTAAGAAAAGAGTGCAAACAATTATTTATTTCATATAAGAAACCTCATGAAACAGTGAGTACACGTACAATTAGTAGATGGGTCAAGAAATCCTTATTCTTAAGTGGAATCGATACCACGATATCTTCTGCCCATTCTACAAGACATGCGTCAACGTCAAAAGCTGTCGAAAACGGTGTCGATTTTGATACCATTCGTAGAACTGTAGGTTGGTCTGCAGGTTCTCAAACGTTTGCCCGGTTTTACCAAAGACCTGTTAATTCAGCTGATACTAACTTCACTCGTTCTGTGTTTGAAATAAACTAAATTAAAAAGAAAAAGTTAATTTACTCTACACAACTACAGTTGTAATGTAGGAGAGCGAGGACGAAATATAATTGGATGATCAAACTAACTTACCTGTAAGTGACGTTCGATCCTAATTATATGAAGTCCTCGCCCGAGTACATTACACCCACCCAGAAAAGAAATTATGACCTTTCCCCTCCCATATAAATGTAGGTTTTTGGTGGAGCTCTAAAA